TTTGGAGTGGTTGGTGCAATTATTTAATAAATGTATGGAAGAGGTAAGGTACCTAGGGATTGGCAGAGAGCATGCATAGTTCCTTTGTATAAAGGCAAAGGGGATAAAAGAGAGTGCAAAAATTATAGGGATAAGTCTGTTGAGTGTACCTGGTAAAGTGTATGGTAGAGTTATAATTGAAAGAATTAAGAGTAAGACGGAAATAGGATAGCAGATGAACAAGGAGGCTTTAGGAAAGGTAGGGGGTGTGTGGACCAGGTGTTTACAGTGAAACATATAAGTGAACAGTATTTAGATAAGGCTAAAGAGGTCTTTGTGGCATTTATGGATTTGGAAAAGGCGTATGACAGGGTGGATAGGGGGGCAATGTGGCAGATGTTTGCAAGTGTATGGTGTAGGAGGTAGGTTACTGAAAGCAGTGAAGAGTTTTTATGAGGATAGTGAGGCTCAAGTTAGAGTATGTAGGAAAGAGGGAAATTTTTTCCCAGTAAAAGTAGGCCTTAGACAAGGATGTGTGATTCACCGTGGTTGTTTAATATATTTATAGATGGGGTTGTAAGAGAAGTAAATGCGAGGGTCTTGGCAAGAGGCGTGGAGTTAAAAGATAAAGAATCACACACAAAGTGGAGTTGTCACAGCTGCTCTTTGCTGATGACACTGTGCTCTTGGAGATTCTGAAGAGAAGTTGCAGAGATTGGTGGATGAATTTGGTAGGGTGTGCAAAAGAAGAAAATTAAAGGTGAATACAGGAAAGAGTAAGGTTATGAGGATAACAAAAAGATTAGGTGATGAAAGATTGAATATCAGATTGGAGGGAGAGAGTATGGAGGAGGTGAACGTATTCAGATATTTGGGAGTGGACGTGTCAGCGGATGGGTCTATGAAAGATGAGGTGAATCATAGAATTGATGAGGGAAAAAGAGTGAGTGGTGCACTTAGGAGTCTGTGGAGACAAAGAACTTTGTCCTTGGAGGCAAAGAGGGGAATGATGAGAGTATAGTTTTACCAACGCTCTTATATGGTGTGAAGCGTGGGTGATGAATGTTGCAGCGAGGAGAAGGCTGGAGGCAGTGGAGATGTCATGTCTGAGGGCAAGTGTGGTGTGAATATAATGCAGAGAATTCGTAGTTTGGAAGTTAGGAGGAGGTGCGGGATTACCAAAACTGTTGTCCAGAGGGCTGAGGAAGGTTGTTGAGGTGGTTCGGACATGTAGAGAGAATGGAGCGAAACAGAATGACTTCAAGAGTGTATCAGTCTGTAGTGGAAGGAAGGCGGGGTAGGGGTCGGCCTAGGAAGGGTTGGAGGGAGGGGGTAAAGGAGGTTTTTGTGTGCGAGGGCTTGGACTTCCAGCAGGCATGCGTGAGCGTGTTTGATAGGAGTGAATGGAGACAAATGGTTTTTTAATACTTGACGTGCTGTTGGAGTGTGAGCAAAGTAACATTTATGAAGGGATTCAGGGAAACCGGCAGGCCGGACTTGAGTCCTGGAGATGGGAAGTACAGTGCCTGCACTCTGAAGGAGGGGTGTTAATGTTGCAGTTTAAAAACTGTAGTGTAAAGCACCCTTCTGGCAAGACAGTGATGGAGTGAATGATGGTGAAAGTTTTTCTTTTTCGGGCCACCCTGCCTTGGTGGGAATCGGCCGGTGTGATAATAAAAATAAAAAAATATATATATATATATATATATATATATATATATATATATATATATATATATATATATATAATATATATATATATATATATATATAAGAGAGAGAGAGAGAGAGAGAGAGAGAGAGAGAGAGAGGTTTCGAAGACAAATAAAATTTCGTTTTCATTTATGACGTGGATATCTTGTTTGGAATTTTAAGTCCTAAATTACAATGAATAACAAAGTCTGCCTGGAAGTAACAGTATGAAAGTAGATTAAATTCAAGCTTATCTCAAACCTCGACTCATCTTGACTAAATTTATCCTTAAAACAGATGTCATTGTCTTTCCGCAACGTACAGGCTATTGTTCTCTCTTGGTTCACTTCTATGACAGTAATAAGATTGCAATTATACTACAAGAGGGACATTAATGAACAAATACACACTTGCTGTATCTAAATCAAGGACATCACCAGCGATCTCTCATTTCTTGCATGACTCGCCTTTTAACTTGTTCTCAGAGAAAGGGAAAAATCAAGAAATCATGTCAAAAAAGAAAAAAAGACACCTTGGGATTTGAGATAGTTCTGTGTAGCATCTAACTCATAGATAGTGCTATCAAACACGTGAATCACCTAGAAACTGATAAAATGGCACTATGGCAGAATCGAAACCTTTATTGAACATATCGCTTGAAGATCAAACCTTTCCATGTCTACAGAGAGTACATGATAAGCATGGTTAGTTGAATGAGCAGAAGAGACATGGCGTGCGAACCTCATTATGACAGGTTTGAAGAGCAATGTGTACTGAGGAGTACACACCGGTGCTGGTGGTATGCATAAGCTTTGTTCCTGCATTTTTCCGTGGTAACCATACTTTGACGTGGGGCTGAGTTATGACCTAAAACATTTGTTAATGTTATCTCTGTTTGAATTCCTGTGTGGACAAGTCCTTAGGTGTCTCACCCACTTGTGCTCTGTTGCATTAACTCTCTTAGATTAGATAGTTTTCGAGATGATGCCTTGGCACCAGTGAAGATTAAAAAGAAGTTATTGTTGGTCTTGATTCTCTGCGTCTTAATTATTCTCTGTGCTTTCATTGAAGAATTCAGTCTCAGTAACCATAAGCACTCGTCTTCCAGGAAACCATAGGTGGAGATTATGAAAGTCTTTAGAAATAAATCCAAATGAACACCTCTCTTGGTTCGAGTGGAGTGGCGAGACCAGAAATGAGATCATACTGCTTGACGGGTTTCCTTTGCACTCTGAATTGATGGAAATTATTAGTAGACTTTTTTTTGTGTATAAGGATGTCAATGAAAGGACCCAGTGTATTTTGATTTTCCCTTTCTAAAACGAATTAGCAGAAGGTTTAACATTAAGATTAAGCGTTTTGAGTGCGATGATAAGGACACAATTGATATACCTCATCCAGGATGCTCCTCCAGGGATGAAGTCGCCTAGTCTTTTGGTTTCAAGGATCTCCATGTAGAGGACTGATTGGGGATTCCATGGCCACACCGTCTGCTGCTTGTAGAATTGGTAACTAAAACATCATGCTTTACATCATAACTCGACGAGGTCAACTAAACTAAATCCCTGCAGGACACAAGCCAAATATGCGGGTCTCGTAACAATGGACTGCGATAGCCTAATACAACATCCACACCGGAAAGTTTATGTAGTGCAATCGTGTTCCAGATCCTGGATAAAAAAATCACCGAAGTGTCGGGGCTGTGCACTGTTGATAGCATCAAATAAACTGAATAGGGATTTTGCTAGAACTCTGCCAGTTTGTAAGGAACGCTACTTATTCCTGAGGTGATGGGCCTGAGAGGTACCCCAAACTTGAAGGTTTTAACAAGACGATACCTATTTGCACGTCCCGATTTTGTAGATAACAGACATGTAAGTCTCCTTTCCTACTTAGAACGTTTGAGGATACTTCTTGTCTTATGAAGGAAAGTTGTTTTTTGAGCTGACTTATATGTACTGATGATGATCTCATAAGGATCACCAGCACTGACAAGGGTTGAGGAGTCGTTATCTTGGACACAGACAATTATACGAGATAATGGACCTCCTTATTGATGTGAATACATATACTCCCATTTCAGTACGTACGTAAGCCCAACTCACAACAATTTTTTTACAGAAGGAAAAAAGAGTGCTCCTCACAAATGGTGGGGGTTCTGACAATTTTTTTCAGTTTGTTGAATACTATCAGTAATGCATTCCTCTTGCACTCCGGGGATCAGTGACACCGTTACACTGGACAAGAAATTCTCCATTTTTTTTTCACCAACGTCTCAACAAACCTGGCTCTCGTAACCCACAGTAACAAAGTCTCACTGGTCGGGGACTGGCCTGTGTCTAGCAAGGATTTATTGACTTCACGTTGTGCATGGGACACAATTGTTTCTCCTTCAGAAAGCAACTTTGCAAGCAGCAGAGGTTATGGCCAAGGAAGTTCCCACTCAGTGCTGTTCTCGCGAGTTTCTACCTAGAGCTGGCGCTGTATGACCCTTGAGACCGAGAATCTCAGCGAGATCATTCCTGCTGGAGTATCATGCACTCAGCACACTTGACCTCTTCACTCTCCGAGACTATTTTAATGCCTTTACACCTTCCGTTCGGTTCACCTTACAAGAAGAAAATCAACCCTGTCTTTCTTTGATGTCTTTATACAAACAAACATTACTAACACAACTCATCAACGTAAATTAATTGTTGATTTTTTCACATACGTTTTGCAGCAAATTTCTCGTTTTACGTTATTTACGTTAGATTTGCTTAGGTTAGACTATCCTGTATCTACAAAGACTGACCAATAAAGGCAATATATGAAATGTAATATAAAGGCTAAGTTTGATAACCACTGAGTAAGACTCGATAAACAGTCGCACATTTACCTGTCTTAGCTACCCAACATTGTGGCTCACTCATTATACTACCCAACATGATGGGGTTCACAGATGATGCTAGTCAACACAAGTCCACTGAACAATACAGATCTACAAAAAATCGTTGATAAAAAACACATGACAAAAGCCTGTCTTCTGAGCAAGGATGACCCTGTTGCTAGCAAAGGGATCTTGATTCAAGGAATCTAAGCCACCCCTACCCTTTCTAGCATAAAACCTTATGATTTCTCCAACCCCTTTCCTTTCCTCAGGCGCTATACGTATTACTCTTAAAAATACAGCGTTTACCACGTATTAAATAATTCTGGGCCTTAAAAGCCAGCAAAAATTAAACGGTAATGCTAGAAGCAATTTTACTTTATAAATATAACTATACATAAAGGAAACTATTAACAACAATAAAGAATGGTAACTATTAGGCGAGCTGCTGCAATCTTACTCATTAAATCAGTTCCAGTTGTTGAGAACAGAGAGATGTAGTCCCCGTTGGTCTTGGTAACACCCAAGGTAAACAGGAAGTAGACATCATAAGGGGTATCCTCGTCGATCTGTTGTGGTAACATTGATTACGATAATAGTTATGAATATAATAACAGTCACAATAATAATAATAATAATAATAATAATAATAATAATAATAATAATAATAATAAAACAGGATATATATACACACTTATATTTCCCTCAGCGTATATATGCAGAAAGTTTATTTTAATTCATATTTCGGGGATTAATAAAGTGACTGTTTTTACGCAGAATAACAAAGACAACATTTCCAAGTTACAAGTTAGTAATAAAATCTCTGTCACATAACTAGGACAGTCGTGTACAACACAGCTAGGACAGTCGTGTACAACACAGCTAGGACAGTCGTGTACAACACAGCTAGGACAGTCGTGTACAACACAGCTAGGACAGTCGTGTACAACACAGCTAGGACAGTCGTGTACAACACAGCTAGGACAGTCGTGTACAACACAGCTAGGACAGTCGTGTACAACACAGCTAGGACAGTGTACAACACAGCTAGGACAGTCGTGTACAACACAGCTAGGACAGTCGTGTACAACACAGCTAGGACAGTCGTGTACAACACAGCTAGGACAGTCGTGTACAACATAGCTAGAACAATCCTGTATCAAACAGCTAGGACAGTCGTGTACAACACAGCTAGAACAATCCTGTATCACACAGCTAGGACAGTCGTGTACAACACAGCTAGGACAATCCTGTATCACACAGCTAGGACAGTCGTGTACAACACAGCTAGGACAGTCGTGTACAACACAGCTAGGACAATCGTGTACTTGTTCCAGCATTTCTGCCAGAAATACTCATGGATCTTAGTGGCATTCTTTGTGCTCAACAAGATTTAATTACATGTAAACTACACATTGTATATTGTGCAAATAAATATATATTTGAATTTGAATTGAAATTTCTAATCGGCCGTTGCTGATGCCGAAAGTGATTATTTGCATAAATGTCTCTGTTCATCTAGTTTCTTTTATCTCGTTTAGCTTATTACTTTTTTTTACCTCCTTTTTTTTATATTTTGGATGGCACAGCACGAGCTCAGTATTTTTTTTTATTTTGGATGGCACAGTACGAGCTCAGTATTTTTTCTTCTTGGATTTCAGTTAACTGTTTTCTTTTGTAAGTTCTTTTCCTGCTGCTTCTAACTTACAATTTGAAGTTAGTCATATTCTTTCTTCATTTTATAATTTTTGTTTCTAAATGTGAAAGACTAATCAGTGTACTAGTGCAAAGCTAAGAAAGTGTATCCACACTCAGCCTCTGGCCGGCCCTCTGGTCACTTTCTTCAACACTATGTGCTTTATGGTCCATTTGTTGAGGTATATATAGACTATAATATAATAACCTTTGTGGTGTCAAAGTATGAATAAATTACCAGATATATTAAACAAGTTTCCTAAATTTCATGCAACAGATAAGCAAACTGTAGATATAAATCTAGAGGTACTCCTGTAAACCTTTTTGGGGCCTAGTTCCGTTTTGTGCATCCATATGCTCTTGCGTTACCGCCTACAGTGTAGGTACGACTGCACAATACACTATTCGCTTCGGCAGTAAAATCTAATCAACCCCTCTTCAACTCTCAGTCAGCATATTTTTTTTTTTTAACAAGTCGGCCGTCTCCCACCGAGGCAGGGTGACCCAAAGAGAAAGAAAATCCCCAAAAAGAAAATACTTTCATCATTCAACACTTTCACCTCACTCACACAATCACTGTTTTTGCAGGGGTGCCCAGAATACAACAGTTTAGAAGTATATACGTATAAAAATACACAACATATCTCTCCAAAATGCCATATCCCAAACCCCTCCTTTAGAGTGCAGGCATTGTACTTCCCATTTCCAGAACTCAAGTCCGGCCATATAAAATAACCGGTTTCCCTGAATCCCTTCACTAAATATTACCCTGCTCACACTCCAACAGGTCGTCAGGTCCCAAATACCATTTGTCTCCATTCACTCCTATCTAACACGGTCACGCACGCTTGCTGGAAGTCCAAACCCCTCGCCCACAGCACCTCCTTTACCCCCTCCCTCCAACCTTTTCGAGGACGACCCCTACCCCGCCTTCCTTCCCCTACAGATTTATACGCTCTCCATGTCATTCTACTTTGATCCATTTTCTCTAAATGACCAAACCACTTCAACAAACCCTCTTCAGCCCTCTGACTAATACTTTTATTAAATCACGCCTTCTCCTAATTTCCACACTCCGAATTTTCTGCATAATATTTACACCACACCCTTAGACAGGACATCTCCACTGCCTCCAACCGCCTCCTCGCTGCAGCATTTACCACCCAAGCTTCACACCCATATAAGAGTGTTGGTACTACTATACTTTCATACATTCCCTTCTTTGCCTCCATAGATAACATTTTTTGCCTCCACATATACCTCAATGCACCACTCACCTTTTTTCCTTCATCAATTCTATGATTAACCTCATCCTTCATAAATCCCTCTGCTGACACGTCAACTCCCAAATATCTAAAAACATTCACTTCTTCCATACTCCTCCTCCCGAATTTGATATCCAATTTTTCTTTATCTAAATCATTTGATACTCTGATCACCTTACTCTTTTCTATGTTCACTTTTAACTTTCTACCTTTACACACACTCCCAAATTCGTCCACTAGCCTTTGCAGTTTTTCTTTAGAATCTCCCATAAACACAGTATCATCAGCAAAAAGTAACTGTCACTTCCCGTTTTGTATTTAATTCCCCATAATTTAATCCCACCCCTCTCCTGAACACTCTAGCATTTACTTCTTTTACAACCCCATCTATAAATATATTAAACAACCAAGGTGACATTACACATCCCTGTCTAAGACCTACTTTTACCGGGAAGTAGTCTCCCTCTCTTCTACACACCCTAACCCGTGCCTCACTATCCTCACAAAAACTCTTTACAGCATTTAGTAACTTACCACCTATTCCATATACTTGCAATATCTGCCACATTGCTTCCCTATCCACTGTATCATATGCCTTTTCTAAATCCATAAATGCAATAAAAACTTCCCTAACTTTATCTAAATACTGTTCACATATATGCTTCAATGTAAACACTTGATCTACACATCCCCTACCCATTCTAAAACCTCCTTGCTCATCCGCAATTCTACATTCTGTCTTACTTCTAATTCTTTCAATAATAACCCTACCGTACACTTTTCCTGGTATACTCAGTAAACTTATTCCTCTATAATTTTTACAATCTCTTTTGTCACCCTTCCCTTTATATAAAGGGACTTTACATGCTCTTCGCCAATCCCTAGGTACCTTCCCCTCTTTCATACATTTATTAAACAAAAATACCAACCTCTCCAACACTATGTCCCCCCCTGCTTTTAACATTTCTGTCATGATCCCGTCAGTTCCAGCTGCTTTACCCCCTTTCATTTTACGTAATGCCTCACGCACCTCCCCCACACTCACATCCTACTCTTCTTCACTCCTAAAAGATGGTATACCTCCCTGGCCAGTGCATGGAATTACCGCCTCCCTTTCTTCGTCGACATTAAAAGTTCCTCAAAATATTATCGCCATCTACCCAAAACCTTCATCTCCTCATCTACTAACTCCCCTACTCTGTTTTTAACTGACAAATCCATTTGTTCCCTAGGCTTTCTTAACATGTTTAACTCACTCCAAATTTTTTTCTTATTTTCATTAAAATTTCTTGACAGTACCTCTCCCACTATCATCCGCTCTCCTTTTGCACTCTCTCACCACTCTCTTCACCTTTTTTTTACTCTCCATATACTCTACTCTTCTTATAACACTTCTGCTTTGTAAATACCTCTCATAAGCTACCTTTTTCTCTTTTATCACACCCTTTACTTCATCATTCCACCAATCACTCATCTTTCCTCCTGCACCCACCCTCCTATAACCACAAACTTCTGCCCCACCTTTCTGCCAATAGTTGCTTATATCTCACCTGAACTTCCTCCTCCCTTAGTTTATACACTTTCACCTCCCTCTTACTTCTTGTTGCCATTTTCCTCTTATCCCATCTACCTTTTTCTCTAACTGTATCTACAACTTGATAATGATCCGATATATCAGTTGCCCCTCTATAAACGTGTACATCCTGGAGCCTACCCATCAACCTTTTATCCACCAATACGTAATCTAACGAACTACTTTCATTACATGCCACATTATACCTTGTATATTTATTTATCCTCTTTTTCATAAAATATGTATTACTTATTACCAAACCTCTTTCTACACATAGCTCAATTAAAGGCTTCCCATTTTCATTTACCCCTGGCACCCCAAATTTACCTACTACTCCCTCCTCAACATTTTTACCCACTTTAGCATTAATATCTCCAGCTACAATACTCTCACACTTGGTTCAAAACTCTCCAAAATCTCTCTCTCTCCTCTATATGTCTCTCTTCCCCAGGTGCATGTACGCTTACTATAACCCATTTCTCACATCCAGCCTTTATTTTACTCCACATAATCCTTGAATTAATACATTTATAGTCCCTCTTTTCCTGCCATAGCTTATCCTTCAACATTATTGCTACTCCTTCTTTAGCTCTAACTCTATTAGAAACCCCTGACCTAATCCCATTTATTCCTCTCCACTGAAACTCTCCCACCCCCTTCAGCTTTGTTTCACTTAAAGCCAGGACATCCAGCTTCTTCTCATTCATAACATCCACAATCATCTTTTTCTTATCATTTGCACAACATCCACGCACATTCGGACTTCCCACTTTGACAATTTTCTTCTTATTCTTTTTAGTAATTATTACAGGAAAAGGGGTTACTAGCCCATTGTTCCCGGCATTTTAGTTGACTTTTACAACACGCATGGCTTACGGAGGAAAGATTCTTATTCCACTTCCCCATGGATATAAAAAGAAAAGTAATAAGACCAAGAACTAAGAAAAAATCAAAGAAAACTCAAACGAGTGTGTATAAATAAACGTGTACATGTATGTGTAGTGTGACCTAAGTGTAAGTAGAAGTAGCAAGACGTACCTGTAATCTTGCATATTTATGAGAGACAAAAGACACCAGCAATCCTACCATCATGTAAAACAATTACAGGCTTTTGTTTTACACTCACCTGGCAGGACGGTAGTACCTCCCTGGGTGGTTGCGGTCTACCAACCTACTACCATATTTATATAGAAGCAAAAAATATTCCATGACTCACCTTGAATTCTCTCTTATTAACGGAGTAAGCCACAGACAAGTTCTGGTAAACGACCTTTAGCCACTGATCAGAGGTGATCTCGTTGTAGTATCCTGAGAGGCTGGGCGAGTATAAGCCACCATGTACAGTGGGCTCAGGGTATACTGCGTTAGCTTTTATGGTATTAATAGTAGAACATTCCTTTATCTCAGTGTTAATAGAAATGACGTTTGGACTTGTCTCTAGTAGGATTTATTTATGCGTGGGGAGAAGAGAGAAAAAAGAATTATTTACACAATCACAGGCGTTATTTCTCTTATATATACATACTAGTAATGTTATTTTTGTGTTGCAGGGTAGTGTAGGAGCCTACCTATAACAAGAGCTTCCCATCTGGCGGTGCTATGAGCCTCTCCGTTGGTGAGTGTGGCGGAGCAGTTGTAGAAGCCACCAAGGTTGTATCGCAGCTCAGTCAGTTCCAGATTCCCGTCCTGGCGATGCAAGTTAACCGCTCCTTCCAGTGCACCTGTGGCTGCATGGGTGGATAGGGAATGGTGAGATGTAGAAGCATAACAAGAATAAAACAATTATCGTGGTTGCTTGAGCATGCATGAAACCGTGATTAAATATAATTAAAAATAATTATCATAAACACTGCTTAAGACTTAAAACAAGCTCAAGATTTAATTTAAACTGTTACTAACAATATCCTTGAGTTCTGCTAAGCTAACCTTTGACGCCGTCTGAGGGAGACCATTCATAGAAGCCCTCCACCTCCTCCTTGCCGTACCTGCCCGACAGAGACCAAGAAATCTTCTGTATCTCCTCATTCTTTGCTTCATCCAGCTCATAAGGACATTCCAGAAGGCTGTTGTTTGACGAGGGTCCCAAATTGTAAGAGATATAGCGCTTATTGTCCACTAGACGGACAGGTCCCAGTTGGAGGCCCCAGCCCACACCTGGCCAGCAGCATACACAGGAAATCAAAATCAGCTTCAACTCAGTTATAGTATCTTTCTTCTATTATTAAGTACAGAGGCACATATGCACTGTCACTTTTGATCTGAGTATTCACATACATTTTTACAGGAAAATGAGGATAGCTTTATAACCATTGTGAGTAATAGGTGAAAAGTTCATCGGAATAAATAAATGCCGTTAGAAACAAGGAAATCCTGGACACCAGGGTCATTTGCTTGAAAATGAACACTGACGAGGAATAACTAATTTCCCTATACAAATACTTGTCAACAGATAACAGGGATAAGCAAAGTACTATAACCTGATAATCCAGTGAATGAGGAAAAAATGGGAAAGAGTCTGGGAAGAGCTTAGACACTGACCCCAGGAGTGCGCCACCAACCAACCCAGGTAATGGTACAGTGAATGCAGAGGATGTTTGTCTATCGACAGAGTATACGGGTTTGTGTGTACACATTGCATGAACCACTACTAGGAATAACACCCAGTCAATATAACCTCTACAACATCATATATAGATTGTTTGACCGCTTTTAAACCATGCAGGGAAGCTCAGGTGGCTCTCCATGCAAGCTTTACAACAATCAACCAATCTGTTATCCACTCCTAGAAGGCTCGTCACCTCACACCTAGGTTAAACTTACTTGTAAAGAACCAGTCGCGCTGTGTAAATGATGCTTTTACAATATCGAGTTTGCTATGAAATTCCGTGCTTTTAGCGGCAACAACTTTAAAAGAATATTTCCCTTCCCATGATATGGACGGAAAAAATCTCTACAGGAATGCAAGGATTAGTGATCATAGAAAGCGATAAACAAGGGAAGGAGAGAAGGAAGATTAGAGAAAGTTTAGAAATTGATTGAACCAGGTATTATGTATATATGAGGGAAAAGACTAGTATCCCATCCACTATGTGTAACGTAAAGTGAAATTATATATTACAAAAAGAGTTGGAAAGTAAGACCTACATATAACAGGTTAGAAACGTCCTACATATGTAAACTGACAGAATAAACATACACACTTACGCGAATGAACTCGTGCACGTTGTTTATTGTAAACACAGACAGACAAGTCTATATCTTGTTCCCACTCCCATACATGTACGTTATAGCATAACATATACATGCCTAAACTCATATATGATGTTTGTAAAACACATACTTTTTTCTGTCATGCATATTTTCACGAGTATGCACGGAGTGGCTAGGTGACAAAAGTTTGAGAATGGAATCAGCCACAACGGAGGCTTGATCAAAGTTTGCTCCTATGCTCTGGCGTTATGCTCTTAAAGTGGAACTTATGACAGTATCGTTATGATCTTACGATTATATCAATGTGCTCTACCCAGGTGAAGGTCGTACATGTTATGAAGGGAATATATGCTATGAAAAAAAAATCGAAAATATTAGCATACATGATACTCAACCAGACAAAGCACCACCTAACAACAAAGGAATCATATGACCTAACTGTTGACTTGTCCTCATCTCAAATATTTCTTTTTTCAGGAGACTGTGTCACACCCCACTCTCCGCTTATGTATAGTCATTTTAATCTGTGTGTGGTAAAAGTGATCAAGGTTCCAGGACCGGAATGTTTATAATAAATACGTCCTAGTGTTTGCTCACGTGTCTTTTTAAACCAATCTGTGGGTATCAATTACCAAGGTTCATACCAAGTATGAAGCGTTCCATGAACTACAGTGTCCATCTCTACTTTACAGCTGTTCCTCGCTAGTAGCAAGTATACTAACACAAAACAATTACATTTTAAAGGTGCGAAGTACAGCTAAGTCCACCCATTATGCCCCGTTAAGTTGTCCTGAATAGCTCTGGAAGCCTTTGTCATCAGTGATGCGGATCTCTAAGATGGCGCCGGTGCTCTGGAGAATGTAAACATACTGGGAACACTAGTGACCTAACACACTTTTCCCTGTTGGTAACTCGTGGAACCCTAGACAGTAGTTTTTTATTCTTCAAAAAAAGTATATTAAAGTTTGAGTGACGTTCAGAAGAAAAATATCTTTTGTATTGTAAATGTTAACATTATTGGATTAACATGGCAATCAACTTGTCGTAAACCACAGAGATTTAGGTGTCATGTGATCAAGTCAGATTTATAGAAAAAGATAACCAACAGTTGTATACCACAAAAAATACTATAATTGCACTTAACCCACGCAAGTACAGCAAGAACAGCAAGAACATCAAGAACAGCAAGAACATCAAGAACAGCAATAACATCAAGATCAAGAACAGCAAGAACATCAAGAACAGCAAGATCAAGAACAGAAAGAACATCAAGAACAGCAAGAACATCAAGAACAGCAAGAACAGCAAGATCAAGAACAGCAAGTACAGCAAGAACAGCAAGAACATCAAGAACAGCAAGAACAGCAAGATCAAGAACAGCAAGATCAAGAACAGCAAGATCAAGAACAGCAAGAACAGCAAGAACATCAAGAGCATCGAGATCAAGAACAGCAAGAACATCAAGAACATCAAGAACATCAAGAACATCAAGAACATCAAGAACATCAAGAACAGCAAGAACAGCAAGAACATCAAGAACATCAAGAACAGCAAGAACATATACATCAAGAACAGCAAGAACAAGAACAGCAAGAACATCAAGAACAGCAAGAACATCAAGAAAAGCAAGAACAGCAAGAACAAGAACAGCAAAAACATCAAGAACAGCAAGAACAAGATCAAGAATAGCAAGAACATCAAGAACATCAAGAACAGCAAGAACAAGATCAAGAACAGCAAGAACAGCAAGAACATCAAGAACAGCAAGAACATCAAGAACATCAAGAACATCAAGATCAAGAACAGCAAGAACAAGAACAGCAAGAACAGCAAGAACATCAAGAACAGCAAGATCAAGATCAAGAACAGCAAGATCAAGAACAGCAAGAACAAGAACAGCAAGAGCATCAGGAACATCAAAAACAGCAAGAACAGCAAGAGCATCAAGAGCATCAAGAACAGCAAGAACAGCAAGAACAGCAAGAACAGCAAGAACAGCAAGAACATCAAGAACAGCAAGAACAGCAAGAACATCAAGAACAGCAAGAACATCAAGAACAGCAAGAACATCAAGAACAGCAAGAACAAGAACAGCAAGAACATCAAGAACAGCAAGATCAAGATCAAGAACAGCAAGATCAAGAACAGCAAGAACAAGAACAGCAAGAGCATCAGGAACAGCAAGAACAAGAACAGCAAGAGCATCAGGAACATCAAAAACAGCAAGAACAGCAAGAGCATCAAGAGCATCAAGAGCATCAAGAACAGCAAGAACATCAACATCAAGAACACAAGATCAAGAACATCAAGAACAGCAAGATCAAAAACATCAAGAACATCAAGAACAACAAGAACAAGAACAGCAAGAACAGCAAGAACATCAAGAGCATCAAGAACAGCAAGAACAGCAAGAACATCAAGAACAGCAAGAACATCAAGAACATCAAGAACATCGAGGACAGCAAGAACATCAAGAAAAGCAAGAACATCAAGAACAGCAAGAACATCAAGAGCATCGAGAAAATCAAGATCAAGAACAGCAAGAACATCAAGAACATCAAGAACATAAAGAACATAAAGAACAGCAAGAACATCAAGAACAGCAAGAACAGCAAGAACATCAACAGCAAGAACAGCAAGAACTTCAAGAAAAGCAAGAACAAGAACAGCAAAAACATCAAGAACAGCAAGAACACCAAAAACATCAAGAACAGCAAGAACATCATGAACATCAAGAACAGCAAGAACAGCAAGAACAGCAAGAACAGCAAGAACATCAAGAACAGCAAGAACAAGAACAGCAAGATCAAGAACAGCAAGAACAGCAAGAACATCAAGAACAGCAAGAACATCAAGAACAGCAAGAACATCAAGAACATCAAGAACATCAAGAACAGCAAGAACATCAAGAACAGCAAGAACATCAAGAACAGCAAGAACAGCAAGAACTTCAAGAACAGCAAGAACATCAAGAACAGCAAGAACAAGAACAGTAAGATCAAGAACAGCAAGAACAAGAACAGCAAGAACAAGAACAGCAAGAACATCAAGAACAGCAAGAACATCAAGAACATCAAGAACATCGAGAACATCAAGAACAGCAAAAACAAGAACAGCAAGATCAAGAACAGCAAGATCAAGAACATCAAGAACAGCAAGATCAAGAACAGCAAGAACAAGAACAGCAAGAACAGCAAGAACATCAAGAACATCAAAAGCATCAAGAGCATCAAGAACAGAAAGAACATCAAGAACATCAAGAGCATCAAGAACAGCAAGAACATCAACATCAAGAACAGCAAGAACAGCAAGATCAATATCAAGAACAGCAAGAACATCAAGAACAGCAAGAACAGCAAGAACAAGAACAAGAACAGCAAGAACAGCAAGAACATCAAGATCAAGAACAGCAAGAACAAGAACAGCAAGAACGAGAACAGCAAGAACAGCAAGAACAGCAAGAACAAGAACAGCAAGAACAAGAACAGGAACAAGATCAAGAACAGGAAGAACTGGAAGAACAGGAAGAACAGCAAGAACAAGAATAGCAAGAACAGCAAGAGCAGCAAGAACAGCAAGAACAGCAAGATCAAGAACATCAAGAACAAGAACAGCAAGAACAGCAAGAACATCAAGATCAAGAACAAGAACAGCAAGAACATCAAGAACAGCAAGAACATCAAGAACATCAAGAACAACAAGAACAGCAAGAAAAGCAAGAACATCAAGATCAAGAACAAGAACAGCAAGAACAGCAACAAAATTAAATAAAAAACAAACGAATAATTAAAAACCAAATAAACCAAAAAATGAGCGAAGTGACACACGCCCAGTCACACGCCCAGTCACACGCCCAGTCACACGCCCAGTCACACGCCCAGTTACACGCCCAGTTACACGCCCAGTCACACGCCCAGTCACACGCCCAGTCACACGCCCAGTTA